AGGATTCTGAGGTCGGGACATGTAGTTTCGGTACAATAAATGATAGCGTCCACGCTGCCTTCCGCATACAATTGTAATGAGAAATGTTTCCCTGGGAGAACTACAAATCAGCACCTTGGAATCGATGTCAGTTCGCATTTTATTACAAATGGGAAGAGAAATATGCTGGATATCTCCTGTGTGTGTGTCAGGCACCATTCTTTCTTCCGCACCATAGAATCGTACTGAATATCTCAATTCCGCAACATCAGCGTAATTTTAAATTCGAACCAATGATTTATTGAAATCTGCGATATATATATTTAGATGCTATTCTTTGTAATCAGATAAATAGGATATACTTCAGCAGCCGCAGTTTTAATAGCTGCTACGATTTTCTCATACAACCCATCATAAATCATCATATACATATTTTTATTTCCGCTTTGGTTGGTTAGTAAGATAAGTGACTTGCACGGATCCGCGTCCTTTAAATTCATGTCATATGATTTAAGGAACGGCCGGCGGTCGACTTTATGAAAGCATCGATATCCGGGATCCGGAATGCTATTTTTAATCCCGTGATATATCGACTGCATGCAACCTGGTTCAAGTTAATCGTGAAATATTATTACATCACGGAGAGCGCACATCGTTAAATAATGTCGAATAAAAAAAAAACAAATTGTAAAGGAAAAAACTTTCTGTGAGCAAAAAGAACCTTCGTGAAATTGTTGATTGCGTCCGACAGAATTAGAAGATATCATCATTAAGACATTAATCTTTCACAAGATCCCTCTCTTATTGTGGTTATCGATTTATCGAACGACACACACAAGAGAGGTTGAAATTAATGTTTGAAGGCGGAAGTGAACCCATTACGACGACCAAATCCATGGCTTCAATTCAACCACGACGATCGTCAAGACAAAGGACCCATGTCCCTCAAAGACGCCAAATCAGATATCCTGGGTTTCCTTCTCCCCGCATCTGCGTTCGATGTTAAACCACATTTCATACTAATCACGCTAGTTTACAACACCACATATTTCATATTTCCCTTATACGTAATCTCATTACGCGTTTCGGGAAAATTACAGTGGGAATGTGAGCGAATTATGATGCTTTCGGTTCTAACAGATCTTATGATAATCTAGAAAATTGTTTATTGGAATAATTACAATTTTTTGTATAAGTATAATCTAGTAATTGTAAATATAAAAATAATATTTATTTAAAATTTGTATTAAAATTTTAAAGAATGCAGCCATATAAGGTAAGATAATTTTCGCATTAAAAAGATTGTCGAACATCTTAAAAATCATGCATTTCATATTTATTCTCTCTTTATCCCGACTATCTTCCTTTATATATATATATTGCATTTTTAAAAATAAATTTCTAAAGACATTATCATATATCTTTATATGTAATCTTTTATAAAGATCAGTAATGCTAGTTTTCAATTACAATTTCAAAATGTAAATTGAATAGTATTGTATTAACTCTATTCAAATGCAAATTTGATCGTTTATTTAAAGATTGATCGACTAAAGTGATTGTACGCAAACAAAGCAAATAATAATCGTTTTACTCTCAAATTTATTTTCTGGTCGAGACATTTCTTCATGCACATCTCATGGACTTATTCAGTCTTCTTCCCAAGTTTTATCTCGGCACGAAATGGCTTTTCCGATCCAATAAAGTGCGCCACGTTAATTATCGGAATTTCGAAGGGTAATTCATTAATATTGCTCTCTAGCGATGGTGTGCGAATCGATACCGCTGCCGCAAGAAAGAAAATGAGAGAGAGAGAGAGAGAGAGAGAGAGAGAGAGAGAGAAAAGAGGGGAGAAGAAAGAGATTCTTCTCCTATAAAAAAATCAACAACTAGATGTTGATAATCGACTCTTTCATATTTATCTTGGCACCTTTCGCAACATGTTTTCGTACATTTCCGATGTCAGCGTTGCATTGACCATGGATAGGAAAAAATGCTCTCAGACATTGATAGCGTAGTGCAGCTTCGCAGAGAACGTCGGTATTCGCTCGGAAGCTCTATCAAAATTACTTCGCGGCGTTCGACTTTTCGTCGTCATCAATCTTTCCCGGTTTGACTGCTAACGCGATAATGCAGTTACGCCATGCATCAGGATGGGGCGGATATATAGACCCGGTCAGCCTGTCAAATTCGTCATAAATAATTGAATTAAAAGCAACGACGTCATGAGTGAATTTGCGGATCACCCAATCGGTGGAATTTCTGAGTGATTTTATCTAACCGATTTGCGACAGTCTCGTTCGCAGCATTTGAGATTTGAATCGCTTTTTATCTCGGATGGAGTATCGGAAATAATCGCTCTCTTGAGATTGTTGCGTTTGTCCGGAAATAACGTGCTGAATTTTTGATTATCATTTATACCTTTATACATTTATACCCAATTGACTGTTATGAATATATTATATATTGTAATGTATACTTCGTACTATCATATGCAACGTATATTTCCTACTATCTTTAAAATATATAAGATTATATACAGAGGACTAGTTTTTATAAATTATCACAAAATTTCAAAAATATAAATGACATTTCCTAATTATTAAAAAGAGATTTCCTAATAATTAAAGAAATTTACGTGATTTTTCAGTAATTAATAAAACTGTATATATAATAATAACAAAACAAAAATGTAAAGTTTTCTTTTGGCATCATAAATCCTTCAGTCTATTTAATAAGCATCATTTGATTACTAATTATTGTTAATGTATAGCGTATATCAAAATAAACAGTAAATTATAAATTATAAATTTATGAATAAATTGATCTCTAATATAATTGATATATATTTTATCTTAGATCTACTTGTAGTCAAGTAAAATTTCTCTGAAAAATCCACTAATTTTTTCAATAATTTTCCAACAAATCTTTCATAAAACAGATCGATATTATACCGTTTATTTTATTACTCTCACACATTACATTGTGTTGGAAAATAATTTTGAAATTATAAGATATTATTTTTCCTCCATTCCAGCTATTGAAGTTTAATTAGATGAGTCATAAAGCTTCATAAGCTGATATTTTCTCATTTGAAATTATATGAACAGAGTTTGTAAATTATCTAACCATCAAATAACATTCGTTAATAATATAATTTAATTATTTCAACTTGTAATTTATCAGAGTTAAATTTCGTTAAAATTGAGAATTTCGACGTTTTGTAAATACAAGCGAGTTCGTTGTTTTGCAGTAAAATATGAAATTTCGCGATGTAAGCGCGATATCTTGCATTACAATTTAGAAATCATAATTAAACAAAATGATAGTCAAATTATATAAAATAATAGTAAACAAATTAATTAATTAATTGCTCCGATAAACATTTCCGAAATTAGAAATCGAAATAAACATAGATATACTATTGTTAAAAAAAGGAATAATACATCTCCAATAAAATTTAACTAAATTTCATATAAACTATAGAGATTTCGTTGTGGACGTATCGATCATACATAATCAAAGTCTGTTGGATTTGATGTCGAGATGAAGGTTTAAAATAGAAAGTTCGGAAACACCATTGTTATTCGATAATATTGAACAATAACAGACTTTTGGTCATTGATATCTGATCCTATAAAGTCTATAATGATGAAAGCTACGATGGTTAATACTGTGTGGGTTTAGTTCGCTACTATTACGTGAAAGTTTCTAAGTTCTCGTACCAAATCGTCGTCGTTACAAGGATGTCCTTTCGAATTGGGGCAGATTTGTCGCGGTCATCGGCTTTTTGCCGACATCAATCTTGCACGGTCCTATGAGCGATTTAACGTATCGATGCCAAATATAAGATGATGCAATCGTGACCCGTAGAAGAGATGTCTCTAGCATCGTTTTTTACTCTTCCATCTTAATATAAGATATTGATGGTCAATCGAAATAAGGATGATGAGAGATAAAATTGATCTTTTGGAAAAAGTCGGAGGCTTGATAAAGACATCTCAAGCAGACGCCATTACTGCATCTATCTGTACCCAATACGAGCTCGTCGTTTCTGTGGAATCGCATACCGATTGCCGTGCTCTCAGCAGGATTCAATGCGTCGCGATCATTGATCGCCTTACCACTTCGAAGCGTCAGAGAGGATGTGCGAAAGGAGGCCATTACGCTTGTGTACATGAATAAATTTGTATGGAGTTGTTCTATGGTTACACGGACAAGATTAACCATGTACTACGTTCGTGTTGTTATTGCGTAGGCATTAGCATAACTTCTCATATACGTGTTATCCCTACGTAAACGATTTAGAATAAAGTATCATGAAATAAAAGCGTTTTCCCTAAATCTAAAGAAGATACTAAATATATTCTATTCTAATACTCTAAGTAAATCGTTGAAATCGGAAAATATTTCTAATAAAAATTAGAAGAAAATTTATCGATTATGACAATTTCATACCTCTATCGAATTTTATAAATGTTCTACTGATATTTTTTCGATTCCCGTCAAGAAACGAATAATATATTATATAATATATTTAATGTTAATTAAACATATATAATTAAATATTCGCTTCGGTGGATAATTATTTCAAATAAATTAGTTACATCTTGAAGTACATATAGATATATCATAGCAGCTTCTTTTGCTTCGTAATGGTCGTGATAATTAAACATATATATCCGCATCGATGAGTAATTATTTCAAATGTATTTGTTGCATCTTGGAGTATATATATCAATACATTGCAATTTATTTCACCTTGTAGATGTCAAGATAGCTCTACATGAAAATATGAATTTATGTTACGTTTTTCTTTATGAGGTATAAAAAAGTACAATAAGGATTTCTAGAAGAGAATCGCATCTACCAAAAGAAGGTACAATAATCATCCCAGAGAAATCATCGTACTTGAAAGCTTCGATTATGACATCGATTCGCCTAAAATTCGTTGAAAATCGTCGCTTCTTTTAAAAGTTTCTCGCAACAGCTCAAAGGGTTATACATAGTTGCTTTCTTACCTCGGCATCGGAAACGGTCCTCTCTGCCAAATTGCGAACTTTGCAGTGCAGGAAGGCAGTGCCGCCCAGTTGTACCGTGATATTAGAAACGGTGTTGTTGTCGTTCGCCTCGTTCACTCTCTGCAGTTCGTCGAGATTGCTGAACCAAAGGGCCTTCCAATCCGACGGGATGTTGTAGGGCACACGTCGATCTAAGAGAAGAAAGATGACCAGCGGGTATAATCACAGTAATTTAATTAAGTTGATTGTCTTGGCAAGGGAGAAACTCGACAAACGACGCCGCAATTACAGAGCGAGGCTATCGCCAGCTCCGCCGTCGGCAGCAAACTTTTTTATCAAGACAAAGAAAAATAAAAGTTAAAGGTGGAACGATGGGAGAAAACAAACGCGGAACCAAGCCTGAATTCCGCTTGTTTTACCCCAACCCTCGTGAATTAGAAACTACTTTCCACGCTCGGGCCCTTTCTGAATTACCCTTGTTATTAAATTTTTTAAGAAGACGACCTGTATTCTCACGTGCTTTGCTCATTTCCTTCGATGTAAATCACCAGGGAAATGTACCGTGCGAGTTATGAAGCAGTTTGCACATTGCCATAACGTCTTGCGATATTATTTGAACAGTGCATGCAGGAATACGGAAAAAAATTCTTGAGTCAAAGTAGGTCCACCTAATCAATTATATATTTTTTTAATTCTATTTATTGAAATAAACTAAGTGTAATAAAATATAATTTCTATTCCATTTACTCACAAAAATGAAAAGTATCTTCTAGATAGAATATCTGTAAATAAACGAAAGAAAATTTTTAACTCTAACATTGAGTCTTTACATTCATATGAATATAATAAGACTTAAATAAAAAATAAATTAAAAGTAACAAAGAAACTAAATATTATCTTTTTACATAAGTCAATTTTAAAAGGATTATCAATCATAAAAAGAAATTCCTTAAGATTTACTTTTTTCTTAAACATTATAATACAATATAATACAAATCTCTGACTTACTGGTCTAAAATTATCTTTTAATTTTTAGAAAGTTCTAATAATTTGAATGCAATTTTAGTTTCTTATTAGGTGTTGGAATTAATTCGTAGCGTTTTACAAGTGATGGGAAGTACTTTCATTAATGTATTTTTTAATGCTCATGTGAAATAAATAACATTCTTTCATTAAAAAACGCTACGAATTAATTCCAACACCTAATAAAATTTGTAGCATTGAAAATCGTTATCCTCTGTAAGTCCCACACATAACTAACAAATAATATTACTTTATTTATATAATGGTCATATAACAATAATCACATAAATGGACATTATTTAATAAGAGTTTATTTCTAAAACAATAAATTTATTACAAAAGATCGATTTATTTGTTATTTTTCCATAGCTAAGAAGTCGAATATTATAATATATTATATAAAATAATGTATACCTGACAAACTTTGAAGCAAGTTTGTCATAAAAATGGCTCATATATGCACTTCGTCACAAGTTTTTGTTACATTAAATAAACGTGTTGCTGATTCAAATTCTCTAGCCCCTTTTCATCTACTTCCTATGGAACACTTTTTTAATCATATTCTAAGCATAAAGAGCCGTTTTTAAGTAATAAATTTAAACATGTGCCATTTAGGCTGGATCTTATATTATTAGGCTCAGGGTAGGTTATATCCCAATAAATTTATGAAAAATAAAAATTTTATTGATTCACCAAGAATGATTGGTATTGCACCTTGTAATTTAATGTGCGGTTTAAAATGGTTGGTGATGGTTTAAAATTTGGTTTTTACTTTAGGTATGTTTTGACTCTCGTGGGCCATTGTTTTCCGCATTCTATGTCCATTAAACAAAAATTGCATAGTATGGTTTTTACTTGATCGCGATACATGATGCATATCCACGATATCGAAAGCGATAGTATTTTGATTGTGATCTTTCGCATCGTTTAAATAATGCGAGTGCACACCTCGCCACTCGCAACAGACGAAATTCACAGTATTTGTTGATACAGTCGAAAGAATAAAAGAATTTTTTTCCTTCATACACGCACGCTTTGTTAAAATTTTCATGGATACGACCTATTTCCGGGCAGCGCAGGTGATTTAGGATGTTTGCCCTCGACAGCAGATTACAATTCAAGGAGACTGCGCTGCTGGTGTGGTAAGCTCGAATGTGCCTGCTTCTCGTCCTGACCTCATTTGAATAATCCATGGATACATAACGGACGTACATGCCTTTTACGCCATGCGAACGCGTTCGTATAAAAAAAGAGAAGAAAAGGGGAAAAAAGATATGCGTGGCTGGGCGCAGACGCGATACGCTCTCGAAAACGCGACGGTCCATGTCGCATTTGCAAAACTTTATTCATGTTATCCTCGGAATTACTACGGAACGAATCTTTCAACACTCATAGTTTTGCGCCAAAAAGAAGAAACTTCCAAATCAAGTTTCGGCTGGAGAGATTTTTGCAAATTTTATCGAATATAAAATGTGTATCAATTTTTTTCATTATTTAAAAAAAAAAAATTATAAAATAGATATTAAGGCTGGTATTTACAAAAGATTCTTAAAACCATCTTAAGTAATGTCTTAAGATGTTAATGCTGCTCTGTGATTGGCTTACGATATCTTAAGACTACTTAAGACGATCTTAAATATAAGAACCGACTGGGAATACCGATCTACATCTTTTAAGAAGCACAATACATGTTCGTACAATGAACATAAAGATTCTACCTTGTCATTATTCTTATCCCATACATAATATTCTAATATATATTCAATTTTGATTTAAATTGGATTGAATCTTATTCAGTGTGTTTGAAGAACTAAAAGATTTTTTTCTCAGATTTCTAAATTGGAAAGCTTTACATAGGTCAAATTAATCTAATTTCAGATATTGACATCTTCGACAACTGCTTGTAACAGTTCTAAGTTAGAAATCAAATTTTCGATAAGTCTTGAGTTAAAAAATCAGATATGATTGTCTAAATTAAGTAGTTATTAAAACTTGTAAAACTGCATAACGCTCGTTAAATCAGAAACTGCATTTCTCTTTTTTTCTTTCTCTTTCCTAAAAGAAAATAGATTTAAAATTATAAATGTGAAAAGTATTGAATTCCAATATGACTCTTTGTTTAATCGAAACTGCAGGATGCAGGATGAAATGAGAATCTTTCTCATTGTCAGAACTAATCATATAAAAGAAATATCTTTATTATTACCGACCATTTTGTCTTGCGTTACACATTCTATTGTTGTTCATATAAAACCGAAAATTTATTATCACGAAATGGTAACAATGCGGTGTAAAATCATTGCTTTGTTAAGTGCGCGCGAAATAAGATATGTAGCATGAATGGTAACGTGTATCCGTACAAATATCTTTAATTCAAGAAAACAGGTATGTTACGAAGGAAAGTTCAACTTGCATGATCCGTGAGAGGAAGGCATCCACGTTACCACTCTCACGTGGGTCTTCCTTTCACCAGAGATTCGATTCGGCCGTGGAAAAGTTCGGCATTCTAAACGCCTTGCATCTCGATTCTATCTTGTATATAGGTGTGGCGGCAAATCGAGTTCTGGAAGCCTGAAAGTACCGAGCGCGTGTTTGGCTGCTACTCGTATTCATCAAAGTATCGAGGCGGAACTGGAAATACGAGGGTTTCCACGGATGCCAAATTTCGAAAAGTCTTTTAACCGCATGTAAAAAGAAACGGCAAATAAACGGGAAATTTAATCTCCGGACGTAAAGTTAGGTGAAGTTAAACAAAAACTTCGTTAAAAACGCGTTATTTAATGAAACGAGAAGGAAAAAATATATAAATCACATTGCTAGTTACTTAAAGTCCGAAAGTGATATTTTTCTTGCAAACATGCACATGCGGTCATGGTAATCTGACGCTAATCTCATTTTAAACAATAGTCTGATATTTATTTACAGTCTTCCACGTTATTCTGCATATCGTGCCAGTTAATCAATTTTGCGTGCATTGAATGTTGCACTTATTTTACGATAACGAAGTTTCAACACTTTATTTAACCAGAAGCGAATTATTTAGATCGAAGCATCAGGTATTCGCTGCTGCGAGTTTCCGTTGTCTAATTTAATGCTAGCAAACATCATTGTATGCGGCATAATGAATGAAAATAATTAATTACAACGCTACGGTAATACAGAATGTACGATTGTAGCGGACTCTGTGTTCAGCATCCATCATGTAATAATCCCCGCGGTAAATTATCAGGTAAATTATGGAATACAGATTTGTATGGGTGTGTGTGTGTATGTGTGTGTATGTGTGTGCGTCGAGCATTGGGGAATTCACTTTTCGTTTTAAATACTTCAAAGATTCGAGGCAATGAAAACTGGCTCCATTGCTACGTTATCAATCTACGCCGGATAGAATCTTTCCATTAACCCCAGCACGAATCTAGCGTACGAAGGTTTTACGTATAGTTTACTATTCGCTGGTTAGTTGGATGCTGCACTACTCCGTAATGGACAGTTCTAAAAAACAAATCTCTAAAATCGTTTCTAAAAACAATAGAATCCTATATGAGAAAAAAAAAGCGTTTTTTGATGTTCACAGTTTGCAATAGAAATTTAAATATTTCCAACATGTTCCTAAATTGCACTATATTTTACTTCAATATAGGAATTAAATTAATACGTCAACTTAGTTACTCAACTAAAAATATTTACACAATTTACTGAAAATATGTGTTATGTAAATATTTTATAATTTCAAACATTTTATTTTGTCGTTCTAATATACTATTTAATATTAAGTTGACCTATTAATTTGACATTATTATACCGAAGTAAAATATTAAAATAGTTTAACAATCAATGAACATATCGAAAATATCTAAATTTCTTTCTATTGTAAAATTCAAACGTTGAAAAATGCTTCTTTTTTGATCAAGTATATTGAATCAATTGTTGAATTCAAGTTTTCTATGCATGAGTTTTAAGAATAGCTTTAAGAATAGTGAATTGGAGAATCTAAATTGATAACGATTACACAAATAAATAGACGAAACGCTCTGCACTCACAGCATCATAAAAAAAAGAGTAATAGATCGACAGTAATTTATTCTTATTTCATTTGCTCATTGTATAACAATATTTTATTTACTCATTTTACGATTGCGCACGACTTGCCTTCAGTCGATTATCCATG